AACATTGGGGTGCATATGGCCCTTCTTTTCACTACATCTGTGTCTTTGGGGTAAATACCCAGGAGTGCAATTGCTGGGTCATAGGGTAGCTATTTTTAATTTTTTGAGGCCCCTCCACACTGTTTTCTGAAGTGGCTGTACCAACTTGCATTCCCACCAACAGTATAAGAGGGTTTCATCAGGTTTCAAATAAAGTTGAAAGACATCTCTATCTGGCCCTACATAGAGTGTACAGTTTAATGAAAATAAACCAGAAAATGGGTATAATGTATATAAGTAGCTTTGAGAGAGAGAGAGCAATGAGAAATGAAAAACCCTCGCAGCAAATGGTTGACATAAACATATGGCAAAGTTTGGACTTACATATTTTTTAAAATCTAAGAAAAATATAAATGTTAACATTAAACACTGATTGGGACTTTGACAATTTAAAAAACACCCATTTTCATAGATAGGAAAATTATATTTATATTTAGGAGTTTCTGAAAAAATGTGTTGTCACCGATATAAAAATGTTCAGTTTCAAATGCTGATATCTATTTTTAAAAATCAAATCTGAAAAACAACTGATGTTCTATAAAGTGGGAAAGGTACTTTTAAATTCTAAATAAAACCTGGGATTGGGGAGGTAACCATAATTGAAGTTGTAATGAAAAAATGATTTGGAAAATAATAACTACATGTCAAACCTAGGATATGATAGAATTTATATTAGAAAAGATAGTGTAGAGGGTACAATTTTTGGCCTATGAACCCATGAGGTCAAAGAAATGTAACTGATTTTATAACTGAAGCCACATTCTTTTATGAACTTCCACAAAACTTCATGTGTAATCCTTCATTCCCATCTAAAAGATCCCTTCAATGCAGCTGAGTTTCAACTTCTGTGACCCTCTTGGGTTCCTAGAAATTGATTCTGTCGTTGTGTGCTGTTGCAACAAAATAAACTCAGGTACACTCCTAACCCCTAAGCGTCTCTCTCTGTCAAATAAATAACTCTCCAGAGAAATAATATTGAGTGAAAAAGGCCAATACCAAAAATCATATACTGTATGGTGCCATATATGTAACATTTGTGAAATCATACGATTATAGAAATGGAGAACAGATTAGTGATCATCAGGAGTTAAGGAGTGAGTGAGAGTGAGAGGGAAGAGGGTGTGGCTATAGAAGAATTACATAAGGGATGCTAATGGTGATGGAACTGTCTGAATTTTGACTGTATCAATGCCACTTTCCTGGTTGTGATATTGCACTGTTGTATTATAAGATGTTACCACTGGGGAAAACTGGGTACCTGGGATATTTATGTATTACTTCTAACAACTATATGTAAATCTATGATTGTCTTAAAATGAAAAGTTTAATTTTAAAAAATAGGACTTCACAGCGGAAAAACCTGACAAACACTACATAAAATAGGTGATCAATTTCAACATGCACAGTCACAAATAATGTTGATAGTATATACTCATTTTTAATTAAGTTTTTAATTTTAATTCCAGCATAGTTAAATACAGTGTTATATTAGTTTCAGGTGTACAATATGGTGATTCAACAATTGTGTACATTACTCAGGGCTCATCGTGATAAGTGTACTCTTTAATTCCCATCACCTATTTCATCTATCCCCCCACCCACTTCCCCTCTGGTAACCATCAGTTTGTTCTCAATAGTTTAGAGTATATTTCTTGGTTTGCCTTTCTCTCTTTTATTTTTTCTTTGCTCGTTTGTTTTGTCTCTTAAATTCCACATATGATTGAAATCATATGGTATTTGTCTTTCTCTGACTAACTTATTATGCTTAGCATTATACTCTCTAGTTCCATTCATGTCATTGCAAATGGCTAGATTTCATTCCTTTTTATGGATGAGTAATATTCCATTGTGTATATATGCACTGCATCTTTTTTCTCCATTCACCTATTGATGGACACTTGGACTGCTCCCATAATTTGGCTATTATAAGTAATGCTGCAATAAACATGGGTGTATATGTATCCCTTTGAATTAGTGTTTTTGTATTTGGGGGGTAAATACCCAGTAGTGTGTTTACTGGATTGTAGGGTAGCTCTATTTTTAACTCTTTGAGGAATATCCATACTGTTTTCCAGAGTGGCTTTACCAGTTTGCACTCCCACCAACAGTGCACAAGGGTTCCTTTTTCTCCTCATCCTTGCCAATACTTGTCATTTCTTGTGTTTTTGATTTTAGCCATTCTGACAGGTGTAAGATGATATCTCATTGATTTGTATTTCATTGATGATGAGTGATATTGAGGTATGTACCCTTTATATAATGTGATTAAAATGACACTTTACCTTGCAATCTTTCTCTTCCAAATATGTGACCCGAGTCTAATCACGAGAAAAACATCAGACAAATTCTGAGAGAAAGGATATGTGACTAGTGCTCTGCAAAACTGTCAGGGTCATCAAAAATAAGGGAAGCATCAAAATGATCACAGCCAAGAGGAGTTTAAGGAGACATGACAACTAACTGTGATGAGATATCTTGGATGGAATTCTGGAACAGAAAAGGCATTAGTTAAAAAGTAAGGAAATCTGAATAAATTATGGATGTTAGTTAATAATTAGGTATCAATATTTGTTCATTAATTGTAGCAAATGTATCATACTGCTAAAAACTGTTAATAATAGGGGAAACTGGGTGCAAGGTATATGGTGACTCCTTATACTATCTTCTCCATTTTTTTTTTAGTAAGTCTAAATTGTTCTAAAAAATAAAGTGTATTAAAAATTAGGGCTCTTACTCTGTAAAACAGTATGTAGGTTCCTCAAAAAGTTGAAAATAGAGCTACCCTATGACCCAGAAATTGCACTACTGGGTATTTACCCCAAAGACACAAACATAGTGATCCGAAGGGGTACGTACACCCCAATGTTTCTAGCAGCAATGTCCACAATAGCTAAACTATGGGAAGAGCCAAGATGTCCATCAACAGATGGATGGATAAAGAAGATGTGGTATATATATACAATGGAATATTATGCAGCCATGAAAAAATGAAATCTTGCCATTTGCAACAACGTGGATGGAACTAGAGGGTATTATGCTAAGTGAAATAAGTCAATCAGAGAAAGACAAGTATCATATGACCTCACTGATATGAGGAATTCTTAATCTTAGGAAACAAACTCAGGGTTGCTGGAGTGATAGGGGGTGGGAGGGATGAGGTGGCTGGGTGATAGACATTGGGGAGGGTATGTGTTATGGTGAGTGCTGTGAATTGTGTAAGACTGATGAATCACAGACATGTATCTCTGAAACAAATAATACATTA